TTATTTTTTTTAAGCATTATTAAGGGGGACCAAACAATCAAACATTTTCAAGCAAGCATTTTCTGGTGTCTCTCCCCCTCGACACCGCATCATTGTAATCAGCATTTTCATTCATCAATAAAATCATCATCATCATTCAAAACCCAATTCTCTCTCAGCTTCCGCAATTGGCTTACGACATTGGTTTTCCCGCACGGCACTGACAATCTAGTCTAGCGTGCGGCGAGGACCTCATTGGCGGACAGCAACCGCACTGACATCGGTTGCTTAGCCTTACGTTGCCCTTCCAAAGATCATCAGGAAGGCGTTGCGTAACAGTAAGCACGCGACTAGGCTCCGAAACATTCAACCTCACGAACCTATTGGCCAAAGCCTGAACATCCAAAGTTAACGGTTTCTCCCCAGCTACAGTAAAAGTAGGCTACCCATGCTCTTCGCCTCCCTGCTCAAAGTATCAGCCAAAACATTGGCCTTCTCGGGATGATAAAGATGGTGATATCATAGTCTTTTAGTAGCTTTAACCACCTTTGTTGCCTCAAGTTCAGATTATTTTGCTTGAATAGGTGCTGTAAACTCATGTGATCCGCATACCATACAAATAATGCCTCAAAATTTTTAGCGCATGAGCAATGGTTCGGGTAGTTCTTCGGCGCATGAACAATGGTTTGGGTAGTTCTTATGTGGTTTCGACTGTCGCAAAGCATAAGCAATCACTCTATCCTCTTGCATCAATACACACCCAATGGCAACATGTGAAGCATCACAATAGGTTGTATAAGTACCCGATGCTGAAGGCAAAACCAGAACTGGAGTTGTAATCAAGGCAGTCTTGAGCTTCTGAAAGCTCTCATTACACTCATCAAACCACCTAAATGGGGCACCCTTTTGAGTCAATCTAGTCAAAAGAGCTGCGATGGATGAAAAATCCTCCACGAAACGGCGATAATACCTGGCCAATCCTAGAAAACTCTGGATCTCAGTAGCGGTAGAAGGCCTGAGCCAACTCTGAACTGCCTCAATCTTCTTCGGATCCACCATTACCTCGCTGGACATCACATGGCCCAAAAAATGCTACCGAATCAAAGCCAAAGCTCACAATTGGAGAATTTAGCATATAACTTCTTCTCCCTTAAAGTCTAGAGCACGATCCTCAAGTCCTGCTCATGATCCTCCTGGCTATGAGAAAACACCAATATATCATCTATAAGCACAATAACGAATCAATTAAGATATGGATGGAACACACTGTTCATCAAGTGCATAAATGCTGCTGGGTCAGTGGTCAGCCCGAAAGACATCACCTGAAACTCATAGTGACCATAGCGAGTTCTGAAAGCCGTCTTCGGAATATCTGAAGCCCGAATATTCAACTTATTGTACCCCGATCTCAAGTCAATCTTTGAGAATACCCTTGCACTCTGAAGCTGATCAAACATGTCATCAATACGCGGTAGTGGATACTTGTTCTTAACTATAACCTTGTTCAGCTGCCTGTAGTCAATACACATCCTCATAAAGACGTCTTTCTTCTTCACAAATAGAATTGGATCACCCCAAGGCGAAACACTCGGTCTGATGATACCCTTATCAAGAAATTCCTGAAGCTGTTCCTTTAATTCTTTCAACTCAACTAGTGCTATGCGATATGGTAGAATAGAGATGGGCTGAGTGCCTGGCATCAAGTCGATTCCAAAATCAATATCCCTTTCGGGTGGCATGCCTGGTAGGTCTGCTAGAAATACAACTAGAAAATTTCTCATTACATGAACCTGTGCAATGGTAGCAGTATCAATACTAATATCCCTAACCAAGGCTAAGTATGACAAACACCTCTTCTCAACCATCCGATGTGCCTTCAGGAAAGACACCACCCTACTAGGAACATGGACCAACAAACCTCTCCACTCCAACCCCGGCAACCCCGGCATGGTCCACGTCACAGTCTTGGCGTGACAATAAAGAATAGCGTGATATGACGACAACCAATCCATGCCCAAATAACATCAAAGTCCAACATACTGAGTAGTAAAAGGTCAACCCTGGTTTCATAACCCCCGATAGTGACCAAACACGTCTACCACAATAGAATCACTAAGAGGCATAGATACATAAACCAGGGTACTCAAAGAATCACGAGACATATCCAAATATTAAGCAAAGTAAGATGACACATACGGATAAGTGGAGCCCGAATCAAATAAAACTGATGCATCCCTATGACATACCGGAACAATACCTGTGATGACAGTATGTGACGCAACACCCCCAGTCCTACCCCGAAAAATCATAACAACGGGCCTAGCCTTCCCCTCTAAAACGATCTCTATTGGCCTGTCCTCCACCCATAGATGGCTCTGCAGGTGTAGCAGTAACTATAGCCTGAGTACCCTGCGGAGGTCCAGCCCTCCGAAGTCTGGGACAGTCCCTCACCATATGCCTGATATCACCACACTCAACATAATCTCTCTGAGGGCGCGACTACTGGAACTAAATCTGACCCGGACGGATAGAATGACCGCTGTAGGCACCCCCTGTAGGAGGTGCACTGGAATATGGATGACCAAAGTGAGTACTTTGAGGTCCCTAAATAGATGGAACACTGTGAGTGACATGAAGTGCAGACTGTACTGGTCGACTGATGAAACCTCTATCGTGACGAGCTGATACTGCTAAGCGGGTACCACTAAACCTTCCAAAATTTTGAGGCCTCTTGGCCTTTCTATCCTCCCTCTCCTATCCACGCACAACTCCAACCTCTGAGCGATCTTCACAACCTTATGAAATAGAGTACCAGTCTCCAGCACCCGTGCTATCCTGAATCTGAGACCAAAACTGAGCCACTCGATATATCTGCGGACTCGCTCTTTGACTATAGAAACCAAAGAGGGTGCATGACGATATAACTCACTAAACAGCATGGCATACTCGAACATGATCATAATCCCCTGATGCAACTGCTCGAACTCTATGCGCAATGCATCCTCGAGGGTTTGTGGAACAAACTCCCTCAAAAATAGATCAGAAAAATGAGTCCAAGTGCGAGGTGCTGCATCAACTGGCCTACTCTTCTCATAAGCCTGTCACCACCTATATGCCGACCCCATCAGCTGAAAGGTAGTGAAGTCGACCCCGCTCAACTCCACAATGCCAATAGTGTGGAGAATACGGTGGCACTAGTCTAGAAAGCCCTATGCATCCTCAGAAACTACGCCACTGAAAGTGGGAGAAAAATACCTCTTGAACCTCTCTAACTGCTTCTGCTCCTCCTTTGATGCCACTAGCCTAACCTTAGGATAAACTGCAGTCACGGGCTATATCGGCATATCACCTGGAGCCTGATCAACATGAACCCGCTACTCTAGAGTAAGGGCGAAGGGAGTTTGAGCTCCTCCCCAAGCCTGAGAAGTAACTGGTTCAATTTGGATCAATCTTGCCTAAGCCAAAGTACCGAACATGTTTAGAAAATGTGCCAAAGTCCCTAAGTCTAGGGGTAGTAACATGCGTCTCAGGTGCCTGCTCCCCAATCGGAGCTAGTGGTAGCTCCCCAAATGCTGCTCTAGCAGGTGCTCTAGCTGTAGCACGTGCCCCTCTTGTCCTCTGCCTTGACCTCTGCCCCGACCTCTAGCAACACCAACGCCGGGGGAAACATTGTCAATAACTGAATCTCGTGTCCTCACCATCTATGAGAGAATAGAAAGACAAATTTCTAATTTCAAAATCAAAAAATTGGCATGATAAGAAATAAAAGAAGTGGAATTTCCTAATAGTTCCGTAGCCTCTCGAAGATAATACAGATGTCTCCTTACCGATCCGCAAGACTCTACTAAATTTGCTTACGACTCGTAGCACCTATGAACCTAGAGCTCTGATACTTACTTGTCACGATCCAAAATCCCAACTTGAGGATTGTGATGACACCTAGTCTCTAAGACTAGATAAGCCTACACGTGACAAGATTAACAGAATTAAACCACATATACTAATTAAATTTAAAGTAGTAAATGACATAACATAGCTGAAAAAGAACAATAGTCATACATCCCCAAAATCGGTAGTATGGAGCCATAAGCTTTACTGCGAGTTCACTAGCAATCTAAAATACAACACTGATTGGAAATAAAATAAACAGTATCAAATAATCACTAGAAGGTGACTACGAGGCCTGCGAGTGTCATGTAGGTGTACCTTGACGTCTCCGCAATATTTGAATCAACTCACTAGCGTCCAGCACGGTCCGAGGTACCTGGATCTACACAAAAATATGTAGAAGTGTAGTATGAGTACACCACAGGTAAGTATCAAAGATAACCTCGGTGGAGCAGTGACGAGGTTCAAGTCAAGATACTCACTAGATATAAAGCCTGTGCGGAATATCAATATATAGCTAACAACGAAAAATAAAATCAATAAATGACAACAAAAGTAAATATGTAATAACATGGCAAATTAACTAAGGCAAGTAATACATGAAGAGAAAATGGTTAAGGAAACATTGAAAAGTTCAACTCAAAGATGTACAAATCACAAGAATAACAACAAGAATCACCCCGAGGTAACACACCTCATAATCACAAATCACAAGTCACAATTCACC